AGGGAGAGGAGCCCGGTCCCCAGGGCCAAGGACCTGGACTGAGAATCTGATTGTGCCGGAGAGGGAAGAGGAGGAGGAATTTACTTCAGTGGTTTTCAGCCTGGGGATCTTCAAAATCCAGATGCCCAGGCGGCATCCCAGAATCACGGAGTCAGACCTGCGCGCTGACATCCAGGCATCATTAGTCTTTAAAGCTCCCCCGTGGTTCCCAAAAGCAGTCAAGTTGGCGAAGGACAAGTGTCGATCAATGGAAGGTAGATACTCTTCTGAATACTTCTCCTGGCCCCGGCGGGCTTGGCCCCTCCCTCTCCTGACCCGCTCCCTCAACCACCGAAAATAGCTCCTTACTGGAAGTTCTCATAAGATACAAAAAGTACCCGGAGAGGGGAGCGGGGGGCGGGGGGAGCGCGGGAAGGAGCGCTGTCAACTGTTTCCCACGCCGCCAGCGGGGTCTGAACAGGGATACACAGTTGCGCAATTGAATGAAGGCAGGAGAGACACAGACGCTGAGTGGCATTTTAGGAATACCTGCTCCAGGAGAGTACAGATGGCCTCGAGTTAAGAGGTCTGCATGGTCATTAAAATGATTTTGTAAACGATCCCTAAAGGAGATCTCCACGTTCATTGCCACAGCAGCAGCATCTCCCGCTGTCCGTTTGACTCACAGCAGCTCTGGGCACCCCTGTCCCCAGTGTGGGTGGAACCCCCTCCCGGCCCGGGTGGGCCGGGCCATGGCACCCAGGCCTGCAGAGCCCCAGGCAGGCAGGGTCTTCCCCTCACTCCCCGCATCTCCCGCTGAGATGTGGTGGCAGGATCTGGGGGTGGGGGTGGGGGCCTGCAAGAAGGAATGGGTACAAATGAACGAAAATGTTCTGTCAGTGAGATGGAAAGCTCTTCTGGAATACACAGGCCCCTGTTAAAGGCTGCATCCCGGGGTGGGGTACAGGGGAGTCCTGGCGCATTCCACTTCCCCGGAGCCCCAGGAGGGAAGCCTCCCAGAGAGAAGGCACCTGGACGCCAGGAGACCAGGAGGGCCCCCTGGGGGCAGGGTGTCCCAGGCAGAGTGACTTCTAGTAGCAGCCTTTCTCTCTCTGAGCTGCCGTTTCCCCATAAAGAGGCATATGATCGAGTGACCGCTACATTTTGCCCCTGTTTGAAAAGTACGACAAAACGTGAAGGTAGCGTTCTAAGTGACTTGGGGTGGTGAGCACACAGTACAGCATCAGATGATGAGCTGTGGAATTGTGCCCCTGAAACCTGTAGAATTTTGTTAACCAGCCTCATCCCAATCAATTCAATAAAAAGAAAAAAAAAATTAAAAGCCGAGTTACTCGTTTAGCTAATGCAATCGCTAGAATTCTGTGAAGTGGAAGTGGGTACTTCTATCAAAGACCCACAGAGAATGGCCTTGGGTTTTACTTTTTTTATTTTTATTTTCTGGGTTTTACTTGAAAAAGTTATGCTACTTTCTGGGGCGATGAGGAGTGTGGGTTACACAAGCGTGTACACCTTTGTCTAAACCAATTAAACAATATATTTAAGATCTGAGCACTTCACTGTTTGTAAATCATACTTCAATACAACAACAATAAAAATAAAGCCCAAAGAAATCTCCTTCTTGGAAAAACCCCAAACTAATAAACATTATTAGAAGAAGATTTGACAAGTCAGTGGGAAGCCCTTCACTGGGCTCATGGAGGAGGGCAGGAAGGACAGCAAAGGCGCCCAAGGCTTGGAACTCTTCTAGAAACAGCAATGGCCGTAGAAGAAAGGCTTCTCAGAATCAACTGCTTAAGAGATGCCAGCACAGCCCCACTTTACCCCGAAGCCTCTGCCGGCCAGCGGCTTCCACCTGCCCTGTTTCAGGAGTTTGAATCGTGAGGGTGGGTACAGAAGCCTTTTCCGTAGCCCCTGGGCACAGGTGTGAGGAGCCTCTTGGCCCGGCCCTGCAGGTCTATGGAGAGATCTGTGCAGTGTCCACAGCGTCTGTCTTTCAGGTCCCCGGTGGGTGTGAAGCCTGGGCGAGCACACAATGCCCGCCACTGTCTCCTACCAGGCCGGGGCCTGGGGTGGATGGAGGTGAGCTCGGTGCTAAAGGGCTTCCAAGCCAACCAGCCAAACCTCCAGCTGAACCTGTTTATCTTGTTGCCAGAAAGGGCATTTGATCCAGGGAATTCATTCCGAAGTGAAAGGCATCACATGGCGGTTCACTGGTTACGCCTAACGCAGCTTGTCCCTCCTGTAACCTCCAAACTCAACTAAAACCCCAAACAGGGAAATTACATTTAACTCGCTTAACTACCGGAGACACTCCGACCTGTTGGCTCGGTGCAGGAACAGGCAAACCAAAAGCAATAACACGAGAGCGGGGAAGACTGAGCTCTCCGCCGAAGGGTGACTCATGCAGAGGCCATGGCAGGCTCTCCTCGCCCTTCTCTGAGTCCCTGCGGCTCTAGTAAACGTCAGTGGGAAAGACTCAGACAGATGGATACAAAGTGTAGTAAGGCAGGTGTGTGTGTGCTTCAGAGTCAGAGGCTTATGGATGTGTGATAGGAAAGAAGGTGAAGGAAACTGGAGAAGAGAAAGAAAGGAAAGAAGAATATAGGTGGCAAGGGGAGAGGAAAAAATCAATGAATGCAGTGGGTTGCAGTAGAATGAGCACCGGGTTTGGGGCCAGACACATGTGGGTATTTACTATTATTAAAATAACTAGAGGCTCAGTGCACGAAAATTCGTGAACTCAAGGGGTCCCTCAGCCTGGCCTGCGCCCTCTCACACCTCCTACTGATGGCTTAGGCCCGCTCCCCCTAGTGAGGAGTGGGCCTAAACTGCAGTCTGGCCTCCCTCTGCAGGAGGCAACCGGGTAGCTGATCAGGGGACAGTGCGGGTTGGCACGGCCCCGCCCCCATCGCCCCTCCGCCACCACTGGCAAATGAGGGAGGAGACCCCAGGGACACTGAGGACTGGAAGCTCTATGACCTGGCTCCTGACCCTCAGGCAGGAGCAAACGCAGGCTCCAGGGCCCACACTGGTTCGTGCCGCCTGTCGATGCCCCCCCCCCCACACACACACTGGTCAATTTGCATATTATGCTTTTATTATATAGGATAACACAAAGGAGAAGAAGGGACATTTATTGTGTGCTTAACTGTGTTCGGGCACAGTGTTAAACACCCTTAATGTATTATCTCTTGTATTACTTGCTACAATCACAGGGTATGTAGCATTTTTATCCCCATTTTACAGATGAGGACAGTGAGGCCCAGAGAGATTAGTGACTAGCCATGGTCCTCTAGCTAGCCAATGTCTGGAGAAGCTGAGAGTTGAAAATGGCTGTGCTGACTCCAGAGCGTGTGTTCTTAACCTCCATGCAGTACAGGCAGGTTCAAATTCTGCCCCTATCCTGTAACCATGGATAACCTCTCTGACCTCAGTTTCCTTTATGTGAAATATAAACGAATGCCTGTGTTTTCCAGCTTGCAGGGCTGCCAGGAGGACTAAGTGAGGTGACGCCGTGGGAAGGGCTAAAGAATGTGAGGGCTGGTTAACTGGAGGCATTTTTGCATTTTCTGGTTTCTCTGTTCCTTCGTAGAGATGCTCCCACTGTGTGCCTTCGTGTCTGTTAATTTAGTCCATGATGTTAGAGGCTACTTTCCACCCAAACACACATGTCCTTCTCTTCTTCTCTCCCTTTTCTCTCTCTCTCTCTCTCTCTCTCTCTCTCTCTCTCTCTCCAGGGCAGCCACCTTATACTGTTTCCAGTCTCCAAAATAAATCCAAGGTTGAAGTTCAATGAAAAATCAAACACAGCAAATTCCAAATAGCCCCTTCACCAGAGTAGGGAAGGGATGCCCATTTCCTGTATCTTGATAAGAGATGAGAAGTCAAATTTGTGGGTTAATTAGCCCTTTAAAAATGATTGCAGATCTAGTAAATATAGCTGAACTAGAGATGGTTGAGCGATAGAGACAAGGACTTGCCACGACTCAGAATCTAGTCTTCCATTTGCTCAGGATCCGGGTCGATCAGGCTTAGCAAAATCAACTTACATGAACCGCACTCTGAAATATAATTTCCAGGGGACATGGCAGGCCCTTTTAGGTGCAAAGAAAATCTAAGACCAGGTGTCCTGAGGTGATGAGAATTTACTGTTAGGCTAAACAGGCAAAGAGGACAAGCCCAAAACCTGCTACAGGAATGCACGCTGTCCTGGACCAAGTTCTCCCGTGACTAACGCATCCTGCAGACCTGGGAGCACTGGAACAATGGCCTTCCACCGGCGACAATGCAGGGCCAGCTGCCTCCATTCACTGTGCCCTCCTCCCCGAAGGTTCTGACCCCTGGACACTGTCACCATCTCACATGGCATTCTCGCACTGGGCCGGGTTCCACGTGAGCCATCTCATAAGCGATTGGCCAACCTTGTGCTCTAAGTGGGCGTCGCTGTTGGGACCTTGGTAACTGGTTCCATGACTAGAGACCAAAGCAGCTGGTGTAACTCCGACACGTGGCACAAACCATGTGCAGCCAGGTTGGGGTGGCTTTGGAAAGGAGCGCTGGGCATGCCAGGGAGGCTGAACTTCATGCAATACCTAACACTGTGTGCCAGCTGGACAGGGTGCTCCCTGCCCTGTAGGGAAACCC